CCCTTCCCCCCCTACCCATCCCCTGTATCTAACTGCGAAACGCTGAGCCACCACAGGCCCAGCGCCCAGCAGCCCGAACAATTGTGGCTGCTTTGTGTTTGCGCACTAATTGCGAACGATTTTCCTTGTACCGTGAAGATAATCCCTTAACGATTGCGTAGTCGTACCACGAAGCGGCCAGACCCTTGTGTGTGCATCGTGTCATACCTTTGTCGGCTTTTCCTTTCCAGTCGAAAATTAAAATTAATGGTAACGTAGCTCCATCGCTGGTGTACGAACGAATTCCCCCAGACCGTAGTTCCGTTCCAAGCTTCCCAGTCCACTTCAAATTGTTTGTGCTTTTGATGAGGTTTTCAAGTCTGATTACGGGCACCATATTCAGCAAGCGTAGAGGCCCTCCCTTCTGCGTGACCATCGTTTCCATTTCCATCACCTGGACTCCTACTGGGTATTCACTTAATGTAATACCTGGGTATGTACACGCAGAAAAATAAAATTCAGTTCCGTGGAAATCGGTTTAAGTTCACAATTTTACACCCGTGCAAAAAAAATTGCTGGATGTAAAAATATTTAGCTGTAGAGCTAAGTGGCATTAGCTACACAGGTAATAAAAGGTGTGGTTTACTGGGTGGCTAAAAAATGACCCTGGTGCTAAATAAATTAGCCGAGTATATTCAGTTAACTCCGGGAATTCAGACCTAATTCTGCGTGTAGTACATGCTATGTAACTACCCGAGTTGCGCTCGCTATGACAAGTTTGACGCAACTTTTACGTCATCGGTTTTGTGTCGTGTTGGAGCGAGCGGCTCGCGGGGCGCCGCCGTGCTCGTCAGTGTCTGCGCTGCCGTGTGGGGTGGGTAGTAGATGCCACCAGGGGACCACCTCATCATCGGGTTTCTCTTGACGCGGCTGGCCGCCCCGCTCCATCAGGGCTGCGAAACTTTGACAAGTGGTGTGTGTATCGCAGGTGCCGGAGCGCGGCCTAGTGGTGGCGGAGGGCGCGGACCTGCCCGCGCGCCGCGCGCACGCCTACTGGGAGAACCTGTTCGCCATCCCCGAGGCCTACTACGGGCTGTCGCTCGTGGTGCAGGAGTGCGACAAAGTCACCGAGATGTCGCTCTTCACCACCACCTTCGGCAAGAACGTCACGCTCGACGAGTTCGCCGCGCAGCAGTTGCAGACCACAGGCAACGTAAGTGGAGTGGCGGCGCAGTGGCGTGGTAGGAGTGGGCGCACGCGTGATTTTCTATCGGATTTATTGACTATTAACGGCCTAAACATAGCCGAGCACGGACAGGTATCGGGATGGAGGCGACTTTGCCATTCCCTTGCTGTGCTGTTCTGTGTCGCTTCCCTTCCGTCCTCCATTCGGGCAGGAAGTCTAACACGGAAAACCCGGCAGGCGCCGGATCGACCGGATCAGATTGGCGCTGTATCACTGTATCACATTACCTGAATCACTTGGATTACCACGGGTATTTTTTTTATTGACCCGTAAAGGGCTGGAATCAATTGGCTGAATCCCTAAAGAGGTGCCAGCCTGAGCTAAAACAGAGTGCAGACGGCGACCAGTGAATACGGTGCGGCGCGACAGGCTGTGGATGGGCCGACCGAGGCTTGACTGCGTGACCCAAGTTATGGGTGGCTCCAGTTCGCTATGAACAAGCAGTCGTTATAACCCTTTTTGAAGTTGAAGAAGAAGCCGGCCCGCTTCCCGTCCGTGCTGGGCGCTGAGTGCCCTATACGGGTCGCGTGTGCCAAGCGCCTATAGGCAGCACGCCCACCGGCGTGTTGGGCGGGTGGCCCGCGCACGGGCGCACTGTTAAAAAAAATGCTGGGATTTCACGGAGGATCACTCGTGAAAAATATTGCCAAAGTCATTTGGGATTTCCCAAAGGACTCCGTAGATTTCACGTGACGAGTTGAGCTTCGTAACACATAAACGACTAAAAACTCACTTCCTTCAACTGCTGTTTCACTACATGAAAATTAAGAACGGAGTCCTCTGGGAATTTCTAGTAGTGGTCAAAAGTGAATCTTCGGGAAATCCCGAGAAATTTTTTACAGTGCGTCAAGCGCCTTACACGGGCCGGGTAGGCAGCACGCCCACCGGCGTGTTGGGCGGGTGGCCCGCGCACGGGCGTCAAGCGCCTTACACGGGCCGGGTAGGCAGCACGCCCACCGGCGTGTTGGGCGGGTGGCCTGCGCACGGGTGTGAGGCGCCTTAGACGACGCGCCACGCGCCGGGTAGGCAGCACGCCTACCTACGTGGTGGGCGGGTGGCTCGCGCACGGGCGCTCATCGCGAGTTGCACTGGTCGGGTGTACTGCCCGCCCTCTAGCCCGCCGGTGTGCCGGGTGGGTGGCTCGCTGGCGCGCGTGGAGCCCGCCCCCGCCGCATCACGTGCATCAACACGATGCAAATTATATGAATGAATAATCGCTTCGTCTGAACGAATTTATCTCCTGGATAATGGACACGTGGCGGCGGAAAAACCATTTCTCTTCCTTGAGCCTCCTAAAAGCCATGCGCACGACACTTATTCCTCGCTGTTCGGCTGCGCAGGCCCCGTCCTCGGGTGCCGCGGCTTTGGCTGGGCGCCCTGCGAGCGGTCCCATTCGCCCTCGAAGCGCTCCCCGAAGACTTCGCCCGTCCGCACGCCCACGGAGGTCATTAGCGTTTCTCAAGGAAATGCGAAATAGAAGAGGGCTCAGGCTGGCTCTAGGAGGCGCTCACGGCCCTGCCGCTTCATCATGGAATATACAACTGTATTTGAGGGGGCGTTGTAACGGGCTAGCATGAAACATGGGGTTTGAAATGTCGGTCGTACGAAACGCAGGTCGTACGAGGCAATTTCTTGTTTGTTTCGTTTCGTCATGTGAAATGTTTTGGAGTGCTTTTAGACTTTTCTGCCGGGGTTTTACGAGGGGGAATTCACTTGTGAAATAGCTCTTACACCTTTTGCACGAAATGACGGCGAAATAGACGCGAAGTATGAGGCCAATTAGTCTCGAAACACACCCGAAATAGCGCGAAATGACTGTAAATGCCGTGACACTGTAAACATTCTGCGTCCCGATGACGAAAATACCATGGCTAATTTTTAGAACAGGGTGTCGTCACGTGTTTTTTTCGTCACGGTCATCTGACGAAAGAAAACATGACACCCCTGTACTAAAAATTAGCCATGGTATTTTCGTCATCGTGACAAAGAATTTTTACAGTAGAAATAGCACGCACGAAATGGCCCGTACGCTGCGTTCCCGATTGATGTTTCCCCTCGCGGTTTTCATCCTGGTATCCGGCTGAGCTCCGCGCGTGCGGCTCGCAGCCGCCCCAAAGAGCTGGTCGGTGCTTCCAATCAGCTCGCGGCATTACGGCTCCCTACTACCCGATGAAAAGATAGACAGGGGCAGGAAGCCCTTCCCCAGTTCTGTCCCGGTCCCGGCGCAGGCAGGCCGAGGAGGGTTAATGGCGGTGGCGAAAGGGCGGGCTAGAGTATTTGGGAAGGGTGAAAATGTAGAGGGCCGGGTGGTTCGTATTTACACTTGGCCCTATAGACCCCGGAAAGAAAATGTTTGCTTTTTTTCCCCCTGTTTTACTGTGTGCACTCAGGAAGGTGATCGGTTGTAGCAAACCTTTACTCTGAATATGCTAGAGTGATATGTGTCTCGCCTAAAACAGAGTGATGGGATTTCTAGTTGCCCAATTTCAAGAAAACTATGCGCTCCGGAAATCCAAGTGCACTTGCCCCATGTGGGAATATCGCCCTATACAAGAGTGATGATTCTAGAAGCTTGGCGTCGCTACACCTCTGCTGTTGCCGTCTCAACCGCACACTGCAAAATTTTTGCAAAGAATTTTGAAGCATTGTAAGGAAGTTTGCATTCAAACTGTTTTCTTCGTAAGTTGCAAAGAAATAGTTTGCAATCTTACGTACTAAATCTTTGCAACGTTAGGAACAATAATTTTCTTCGCAAGGTGCAAAGAATTAGTTCGCAGTACAAAGGATTTAGTTTGCATGCAACGTATTTTATAACGCAACGCCAAGAAAAGTTCTTCGCAAGCTTTTTAAAGTGTATTTTGCGGTTGAACGATTTTATGAAGGTGAAGGGGTTGACGTTGGCGATCTCTGCATTATCGATGACAATGCGATGCGGCTGCTTCCACGGCTGCGCTGGGGCTCGTGGCGGCTCATCTCCCTGCTGATTGCTTGCCCAAACTCGTCTCCCCCTAGGGGGAGCTCCCCCCTCTCTCCCCCAGCCTTTCTTCTTCGCCAAGGTGTTCGTTCCGGGACCACGTAATATTGTGTGCTGAGAGTGGATTGCATTCTGTTGTTGACTTTCTCCGGAGCGGCTCCATTTAAAATGACGTCGCGCTTCTACTTCTTTATATTGGAGTATCGGGCCCGGGCCACTGCGCCATTCTCAGGAATATTTTACTTCCTACGAACTTTACAATCCTTTTCATCGGCTTCCATTTCTTCCATTTCCATTTTTTTTAAACAAATATTTTATTTCCTCCCAGGCGATCGAGGACCTGCGGGTCTACTGGAAACGGCGCGTGGTTGACAACATCTTCCTGCACCTGCGGGACGTTGGGAAGGGGTGGTACAATCTCAAGGAGAAACAGTGGGACATCTACCTTCTCTCCAAGATGTACCGCCTGCTCCGCGTCACCCGCCTGCGGATGGAGGTAAGATAAATTTTGTAGGCTAAACGCGAGCGTGATTCTCATGCCTGGCGTGATTTTCACGCCCGGCGTGATTTTCACGCTCAGCGTGATGAAAGTCGGTTCCGGATTTGCTGCGTGAAGCTTACAAAGCGTGAAAAGTGGAGCACCTGCCCGTGAAAATCACGCTTGCGTTTTGTAAACTCTGCATCCACACAAATCCTGCGTTTTTCCCTAGAGTTTTTATTTGCCTCTTTTTTTTTACTGAATGGGTCGTTAGGTGTTGCCGATGAATGAATGGTAAATGTTTTGGCCTCATTGCTTTCACCCAGGTGAGCTCCAAAGATGAAAGGCCGGGAAATGTGAGAAACGAAATGTGCGTGGGCGGGCAAGACCACCTACTGTGGTGGCAGAGGGCCGTAGGCTGGCGGAACCGAATCCCAGGAGCGCTGCAAAATCGCATTTTTTTAAAGGACCGACGTTTGCGCTGAAGGCCTACTAGGTGAGAGGGGGGGGGGGAGGCAGGGAGTGAGCTTCCCTTAGCAAAAGGAGCTCTCCTCTTCACACGTGCACGTGCCCGGTGCCGACCAAGCGCGGCCGGTGTCAGTCGGTCAAAAGAAGCTATTTTACAGATATCAACCGTATTCAGAGCGGTGGAGGATAAAGTGAACGCAAAGCAAATAGTTACTGTCGGCTCATGCATCATCTGTCTTCCGTCCCTCCGTCTGTTTATCTGCCTGTTTGTCTTTTCTCCTCAGGATAGAGACGGACAGAAATGTGTCAGTCGTAGGGGCTACCCGCTCCCAATTCTGTTCGCCCCGGAGCCGACAAACTTTATTTTATTGGGCAACTCTTAGCTCATTTTTTTCTCATTTTATCTGAGGCCCTATAGTTTTGTTGGCGCTATTTTTCTTAAGATAACATGGCGCTCAGTAGACATATAACGCGCAATTGATTTTTCAAAGAAGCATTATTAATTGATCTTTGAAAAATGACTTGCGCATTATGTGTCCCCTGAACGATATGGGCCTGGTCTTAAAATTTAAGAAAAATAGCACCAACAAAACTATAGAGTTTTAAAAACATTTGCACCTCTAAATGGGAATTTCCTGAACAACTTTGAGAATATCACCCACACCTCAGCTTAACCAAGCAAATTTCGTAAAATCACGACGGATTTTAGATTTACGCGTTACACGCGTATACCAGGTGGCTGATTCACGCCGCGCACTTCTGGAGTTATGCTGTACCGCATGCACGAGCGCGGGCGGGTTGCCTACTCGCTCGGCTCGTAAGGCGCCGTGGCCAGGGGTGATAGGCAAGCCCGCCCGCACTCGTGCGTGCGGTACAGTATACCTACAGAATTGCGCGGCGTGAATCAGCCACCTGGTACAAATCAGCGCGCCACCGAGAAATAAAAAAGGAGGTGAAACTGTCCCGCCGGAAACAATCCTGCCAAATATAAGTCCGCTCCTGCCCGTGCCCTCGGGGCGGGAGCTGGGCGGCTGCGGCGGCAACGGCTATCGGAGTGCCTCTGCCCTCACACATTCTCCCTCCCTGACGA